TAATAAAGTTACTGCACTAGGATGTCATCATACATCACTGATATAATGAATAAATTGCCATTTAGTTGTTAGCCATGCAAGCGTTCAAAATAAACATTCTGGAGTCTACTATCAAAATGAACAACAACCGAACAAATATTTCTTTGATCTGGTTGGCGTGATTTAACAAAATATTTTTCTACGTGGCGGAATTGCTGTTCCCATGCCCAAACCTCCTTCTTTTTACTGGGAATGAATATTTCCCGACCGTGATTCGTGATATAGTCGGGCTGCCCGGATCCATTAATGCTACGTAAAACAACAATGTTGATTCTCCACTGGCTAACTCCTTATCAATATTATGAATAGTTATTCACAATGATTTCTATATATCGTCATGAAGCATTGTTATGACTTGACAATCATACAATGCGATTGATAAAATTGGTGAAACTGTTGACAAAGTCGTCTGACAGATTGACTGATAATTAGTGACACAATCATCTATGTGAGTCGTCGGTATAAACAATCGAGCAAATCTGCAAACTGGAAACAGTACTGTAAAAGTTACTAAGGTCTTATAGATCAGGTAGTCACATTATGAGAATGAACATGTGACAATTAAAATAAGAGAAGTTTTAGTAATCTCATACATACCGCTGTTTTGACTCCTTAAATATTCATTAGGTTTATGGACGAAGTAAAATGTCTTCACTAATAACACCATTGAGTATGATATCAAGAGTTAATCGCTAACGTCTTGTAAGAGCTTGGGTGTATAGGAACAATATGAAATAAAACACACTATGTTCGTTATCTTATCCATGGTCACAAGAAAGGGATGTTAGCGGGTGCACTACATTTCAAAAACGCGATTTGATTATGTGGTCTACAAGAACTTACGTGGAAGTCACATAACTGTTGACCCTGACCCCTCATATCGTGACAATTATCAATACAATGCCTAGAACTTCTGAGCAACACATTAAGGCTAAAGATGGAATAGTATATTTAGTGTGAATGTATATATGCCACACAGAATGGACATGCCCATGCCATTGTCAATGATTGTGATTTTCCCGTACTCATCATTGTTGACATTCCCCAAGTGGTATATGTAGGATGTAAATCGCCTTGGTAACTATACGTTCAACTTCAAAAGCCATATGGTTAGGAAACATCACCACTACAATATTTCGGTAGTCAATATTCATCAAGACGGAAGAGATTATTTTACAGCATTATATATAAGTTAACGGAAGTTTTCAGATCGTTCGGGCAGTACATTGCCACAGCTTCCGATGGCGCTTTGTCTGAAGTTAGTAAGTTTCGAGAGAAAGTCAAAATAATCTTTGAAGTATCGGGTCAGCGTTTTTCGCAGTTATATCGCGTCCAATCCTCATACTTATCACAAGTTTCTTGGCTCCTCTTTTACTGACAGGCATTTATAAAAAACCACTTCAACGAAAATGAAATCGGCTTCGGAATCGAAATATCAATTAGCAGTAGCTAGAATTAAAACTCAATTGAATAGCCATTTGGTAAAAGCGGATTGAGGAGACACTTCCTCCTGAAGATATATTAAAACAACGTTATGATTAGTATTCGTGTCAATGCATGCCATGCATTCCAAGAACCTTAGGTTTCATATCTTTCAAATAAATTTGAAGAAACCCGTGCAAAATTGTGAACTGCACCGAATGTGCGTTACACTGTTTTTTGGCGGCATGTGCTCGTTTTTGCCCGAATTGCTTGGGCCTGAGTTTTTCCCCAAAATTTGACCAAGATCACCCAGCAAAAAGCCAGAATTTGTAACTTAGGCATAGTCAACTTGTTACAATCATTGCAATGAATGCCCTTGGGAACGCTCATTCTATTAGTGGATAATTAATTTACTGTGCACATTTGTAATCACGTTTGCAACTGTTTATTCTGATTTTGCATAGGAAATTTGACCTTGGGTACTTTGTACCCGAAGAATGCATCACGACTTAGAAACACAAATCATCAAGTGGAATGACATTTAAATTCTAATCTAAAGACCTGTAAATATATCTTGTTTATAATCTAGTAAGTTACTACAAAGATTTTTGTGTTACACATTCTGGCGTATATTCGTCCTAATATGAATTCACATTTATAAATTAGGGGCAGTGTATCGTTTAACCAAAGTGCCTTAGAACGACGAACACTGAAGGTGTTTTTTCGGCGAGACTACAATTTATGGGCGACCTTTGTGCGAAACTGAAGTGACCTTGAGAGTGAACAACTACTAATTAGGGCTAAATGAGGGTTATAAAGCAGCCAGAATTGTCATTTACAGCTGATGGTTAGGGCTAAAAATTAGATTTAGGATTTTCATCACGAACTGACATCAGCTATAATGCCAAAACTTGTTATCTTCTATCTGACTGGTTCGTCCATAAATTATAGTCTCGCCTCCAAAATAAGTATTTTTCTTGGAAGGCCACTCTCCGATCTTTGACCTAGAGGTCTAATCCACAAGGTGGTGGAACAACGTCAGGAGATGAAGTTCCATGGTAGCAGGTGTCCAACTCTTCTCACCTTCGGTCGTACCATAGCATTTAGGGTCTGGTGTTATGAATACACCTGAAGGGAAATTCAGCAAAGTGATCCGTGATTAAATATTGACTAGTCTGTTGGTTATTTCAACATGAGCTCATATTTGTCGTAATTGAAGTGCTTTTTCTATTCTACCGTTTTATATATTGCCATTTATGAGTCAGATTTATTCCTTCGGCTACTTGTACTGCCTGAGATAGTTAAGACGATGCGCTTGAATACAACGCTTTCCTAGTAAGCAGTAGATCTATTCAATGTATTGGGATATTTTTACATTCATAGTTAAGGATGTTCAATAATTTCACAGAATTTCCACTACTTAGATGTTTTAATGATATATATATATTTCAAATTTATGTTTTTTTGTCTACTGGTAGGCATTATGTTGGTCGTCAGATATGTATTCCTTAATAAATTTGTCTTTGAGTCGTGGCTCTTATGGTACTCAAAACATCTTCAAGTTGCTTTAAAAGACGGGTAAGGTAAGAATAGATTAATTACCTTTTATTTGCTTCAGAGCTTTTTAGCCCATGAGTACTTTTGCCTTATTGATCGGTTGCATTTCTCGCTGGACAAGCTGAAAGTCGAGGATTAAAATAGACGAAATATTTTTTTAACATCCTGCTATGTACATAACACAATTCCAATATTTTTCACTGCATTCCTCAAATGCTTCCAAATATATCGTTGTTATGGATTTGAATGCCTTTTGCAGAAAAACTGTCTGTTTGAAGTGATTTTCTATTATATTTGGATTACAGTGATACGATAATGAATTAATATCACAGGCTGGTTAAACACCCTCAAGATCTGTAAGACCGAAGGAAGTAGACTTTAGGAAAGTTGTTAAATGTATAGTATATTTTAATGTTGTATCGAAGCACACACGACTTGGATTTACTTGTCATATGCAACATAAACCGAAAAAGGAGTATCTTAGTCAACATTAAGTATAACCACCCAAAGTGAATTAGCATGGGCTTTATCAATTCGTGGTTAATCACCACATCCCTCAGCTTGTTGTGTTATTTGGGTTGGGATTGAATTATGGAACAACCAAGGATACTTGAACCTAGGGATGAAACCCTAAAATTATTGAGTATCTGTTTGGTTCTGCTTAATTTTGTATCATTTACCCGTCTGTTTGAATATATTTCTGTCAGGTATTGGATATCACTATTTAAACATTAAAAATCATATTTTTATTCACCAGTTTTTTTTCCATACATCTTAGAGTGTCACAGTCGATCTTGATGCAGGTGAAGAGCCAAGTAACACATTTACAGACCGACATCTATGTGGTAAGTTCGTTCTAGTATCTAACAATTTATTGATCAGAAAGTCGGGATAGATTTTTGCTTAATAGCATCCTAATATTTGTTCTTCGAAAGGGGTATACAGCAATTTTAAAAGAAGGTAATCATGAAGTTTACATTATCAGTATTACCATTTTTATTCATAAGTTTTGTTTATTGAAGTTGGGGTCAAATTAAAGTCCATGAGACATTTATTGGTTAGGACAGTATTACAAAGTGGTGAACAGTGGGGTCAGTTGGGTTGTCTCTGAATACTTACGTAATAAATAAAACTTTAGCATCATTAGATATTTACTGACCTCAGATGCAGCGTTGCTTTATCTCTTTTTAATGATCAGCTCATATAATATTTTTACTAAATATTTCGTCTGTGAATTAGAGGTTTACTTCAGACAGGGATGCTTAACTCATTGGTTAATATTTCTGTCTTTTGAAGTTTGTCCACTTGATATGGGCTTCATACTCGTTAACGATAATCTACTTGGTCAAATGCTTGTTTGATCAGAATTTGTTTCGTTCCTGTTATAATGAAAATTAAAACAAACTTCCAATAAAAATACTTGTCTCAGGCCAATTAAATCGAAAAGTGATCAGTTAAATAATTATCATCGATAATTTAAAATTACCACAGTTGATGGATAGACATTTTCTCAAAATTGTTTTTACACAACTTAGCATACTCATCTGAATATTTATTTCTCCTCTTGTGTTTTTTTTATTAGTTATTCAGCTTTACGGTCAATTGTGTCTTAAACCACCACCTTTTTGTGTATGGTGTTGTGCAACGGTGTTATTTTCCAAAACTTTAAATGAAAATTTGATTGAGACTGATTCTAACAATTGCAATTTATCTACTAATTATCAAGATCAATTAGAGACTTTAATTACTGTGGGAAATAATTTATTTTCTAAACTAAATGATTCATCGCCGTATAAACCATACCTTAACACTTATTTAAAGGAGGCTAGACGTGTTGTAAGTTCTCACTTATGTATTATATTGTTGCATTTGAACATGATACTATTATTATTAACTACATGAGTGTACATAGCCCCCAAGCGCCCTGGTATGGCCGAGAGCGGGGTGGGTTCGCCCTCCCTCTCGAAATACTCACACGGCCGCGCGTATACAGCCTCTGCCAGGGAAGTTCTACTCACTGCCTTCTCGTGGCGGGGGTGTTGTTTACGAAAATGAGAGGACGAAAAGTGAATGTCCGGCGTTTTAACCGGATTCCAAATCTATGGTGCACATGGGCACCAGTATCCTGCGGGAACAAATGGCGTATGAACCAATTTTCGGTCACCGGCTACCATGGGACTGCATCTCCTTACGATGCTCCACTGCCTTGTGGGTTAGACCTTCAGGTCAAGGGCTCGGGGTGTGGCCCTCTGAGATAACCACCTGCTTCGGTCTGGGCACCCGGGCAGTATCGCAGCCCACACGCAATTTATGAACTGAAATTGTGTGGCGCATATATATTTGGCGCACTCCTGTACCAATATATGTGTTCAAATAAAATAAAATAAAATACATCTTATTTAAGGTTTTATGTGTTCTTATTGTGACTATTAAGAATTACTTAAAGTAATGATAGTAAACGACAATATAGAGGATTAACTGATATATGTAGAAATCATTTCACCAAAGTAAGTAGATATATGGGTCGTTTCTATGTTTATTTTATTTAAAATAATTCAAGAATATTATTTAGCTTGCTGGAAATGGTTCTATAAGAAGCTCGATAGTTGAAAACCTTGTAAACACAAGCCATTCGATCAAAATGAACTTTGCGTTCAAAATCATCTACAAGGTAACTTGAAAACTGCCATAGCAGTTAGCTCCCGTCTTCTTAACATTGCCGAGGCATTCGCTATAAAGTTTGAAAAACTAGGGTCACATGTACAGAAGAAATTTGTAAAGCCTTTTTTTCTGCCATATTCTTAATCTTTCGTAACCTTTTAAAATCTTTTCTCTCAAAGCCATCTGTTTCCCTTCTATCTTTTTTATGGACTTTTCCTGTTTCTATGGTCCTCCTGATTAAAGTTAATCTGAATTTCAACATTTTATCTCATCTCACTAAGTCTTTCCTCTGCAACTATAATTTTTCTATGGATCTCCTTGATGAATATTCAAGCTCTCAACAATGTTACTACTATTCTAATAAAAATAACGTTTTTACGTCTTCATTTATTTTACCTTACTGTTTCTATGTTTAGCGAAAATAAGTTACAGACACGTAATTAATAGGGCAAGCAGCTAACTTACATACGACTATATAAACGTCAGGGTTAATAAGCAAATAAGTGACAAGTTCAAAATGTAGCTTGAGAAGAATGAATAAATTGGCCTATCAAAAAGCTAGAAGAACCTATATGAGCTCGACATGGTACCAGCCGCTACAAACTCTTCTCTGAACCAGTCTTTCTTATTTTACACCTCACTAGATGGCGAAGGTGCATCCACTCTTTGTGTCCTCCCAAATTCTAATCTTCTGAATTCTTCATGTCCTTTTTTCCTCTTTCCAAATTTATTTCACTGGATTATACTCTTTAAATTACATCTCCAAACCCTAATCTTCCCGATTACTGCTTATACTCTTGCTACCTCTACCACTACGGGATTTGAATCGACCACTGCATCTATGTGCTAATGTGGTATGGCAACTCGAACTGATGTACGTACGTACGAAGTTCTACGTTGTTACTGACTGACTGACTGACAATAGATATATTCCGTTTACTAAACTAAATGCTTTGTATTGTGAGTGGGGAGGGTCCGCTCTCCTTCTCGAAATGCTCTCACATGGCCGCGCTCATATAGCCTCTGCCAGGGAAGTCCTACTCACTGCCATCTCGTGGCGGGGGTGTTGTTTACGAAAGTGAGAGGACGAAAAGCGAATGTCCGGCGCTTTAACCGGATTCCAAATCAATGGTGCACATGGGCTCCAGTATCCTGTGGGAACAAATGGCGTATGAACCAATCGTTGGTCACCGGCTTCCGTGGGACTGCGTCTCCTTACGATGCTCCACTGCCTTGTAGATCAGAACTTCAGGTCGAAGGCTCGGAGAGTGGCCCCCTAAGAAAACCACCTGTTTCGGTTTGGGCACCCGAGCAGTATCACAGCCCTCACACATACCGAATGAGATTTGTGTGACGCATATGTATTTGGTGCCTCCTTGTACCAATATCTATGTGTTAAAATAAATAATAAATGTCAGGTTCTAGGACAGATGTGCTTATCGGCGTCCGACAATAATAGTTTTTCTTCACTTAAAAGCAGCATTTGAGTCGGTAGACCGAGAGGTTCTGTGTCAGTGTCTGTCATTGAAAGGCGTGCTTCAGAAGTACATAAACTTTGTGATGGCCCTTTTACTGGAACACTACCAGTCAAGTCAGAGCTTATGGCTAACTGTTATCTGATTTTTCAACCTCAGCTGATGTCCGTCAAGGCTGTCCACTATCTTCATTTCTTTTTAATTTCATCATAGACATATCGCTGCAAATAACGTTCTCGTCGTCTGGATTTTCAGGATTTGATCTCCTACCAGGAGGTCCACTTATCGGCTTAGAATACGCAAATGACATAGTCCTGTTTGGTGGAGACACTGATAAAATGCAATCTTTTGATGGCACTGAACAAAATTGCCAGAATGTTTGGACTGCGTTTCTCCTTCTCTAATGGCGAATTGTTGCTTCAGGACTAGTCTGCATCAACATCTGAACTAAGGATAGGGAGTGAAGTAGTTGAACGCGTTGACAACTTCACTTATCTTGGAAGTCTGATCAGCCCTAATGGGTTGGTGTCTGACGAAATCTCAGCACGGATCCGAAAAGCTCGTTTGGCATCTGCCAACTTACGTCACCTATGATGAAGGCAAGATATCCGTCTATCAATTAAGGGACGAGTGTACTGCGCGGCAGTTTGTTCTGTTCTACTTTACGGCTGCGAAACATGGCCATTAAGAGTAGAAGATACTCGTAAGTTCCTAGTATTTGATCATAGATGTCTTAGTGTTGGAGATGGTTAGAAGAAAGTTAGAGGCGGCAAATCAAAAGTTGGCATCAATCCATAAAGTCACTAACTTCTTTTCTGAGTCATGTTGGTAGATGCAGACTACTTGGTTCGGGGTCCGCGTGACTATCGTGATCAATGGTTGAAGACTCTGGGTGACATGACTCAGAATCGATCACAGCGGCGTAGGTGTATACATTCTTTGCCTTCCTTTAAACCGTGAGATTAAAATCGCTTCATATCTTTCTTTCTACCAACTAATTCTTTCTTCCTGTACTATGTCCTTATACACAATCTTTCTTTTATATATTACTACCATTGAAGTAACTACTACTATGAATCCGGTGTTCATTTTGTTGTGCTAATGAGGTATGGCAAATTGGACCGGTTCATATATGTGCCTTGTCGTACGATGTAGCTGACCGACTGACTGAACACGTAATGAAGTATGCACGCTCATACAAACATGATAATAATTATGTGAGAATATAGATACGTCGTTGCCATTCCAATAATACTGTTAACTAAGTTAACTGAAAGGTTTAACAAAATTAAGCGCATACAAATTGAATTGTAGGTGAGGTGCTATAGTATCATTCATTTACTGTTATGTTTCTCATGTCTTCCTTTGTATCATAAAGGTAATTAACCACAATACTTGTCTGTTCTAAATTCTTTAGTTCATCTCTCATTTATCATTATCTAGTAAGTTATTCATCTAATTGACGGTTTACTAACTAGCTTTCGACGTTCATAATATCAGCTCAATTCGTTCAAGTATATCACAAATTAAATCATTTTCGAGCTAGTAGAACAAACTCACATCGAATAAATCATTATTATCTAATTAAAACTACTTATCTTAATGTTTTAAAGTAGTTGAGACTAGTTTAGAACTATGTAGTTTTTCGTTATTATATTCAGAACATTTTAACAGTTAAACCTATAAGATATTCATAACAAAGTTTATTGTTATCTGTCTGTTGCGTTTTTCTTTTCTACTTAATCTTTGAATACTCTTACAACTATCCAACCGTTATATTACGGTTTTGTAGTCTGGATTTTCTGTGTAGTCAATTAAACAATATTTGAGTTCAAGTAAAATTTAGACTACCTCTTGTTTCTGTAAGTTTGCAAAAAAAATATAATCAATTTGGTACAGAATTTCTGTTCCTCTAAAGCGTTATTCTCTTAGGTTGATTAATTAATCACCACGACCCCTCATACACACAAAAAATTATTTTATCCTTCTGTAATTTAGATTATGCATCTATACTTGGAATCATCTGCACCAACAAGTAATTATACTCTGTGTTTTTCCAAATTAAATCAACACTATTCTCAATCAGATCTAGTAAGTTAGCTATTTTATGTCAATATCCTATGAATCTGTTCAGTTTGTCATTGGATTATATTTTCTAGTTGAAAGTGGAAAATGTTCTTGATGACTAACGTATACAGTTGCCTAATGGTTTTTACTTTTCTGTTCCTTTGATACGGGCTAAGCTATTATAGTCATTAGCTTTGTTTTGGATAACTTTTTCGTTACATTTGTGATAAAATTAGTTTACAATATCAAAAAAACTGTACCAACATCTGGTAAATACTCTGCGTAATTTTCAATGTTTCTTGTTATCTGCTTAGTTAGTTAGTTTGAGGTCAGTGAGTACTGTTACCTGGGATGTTTTGCTTCTAATACTACTATTCTGGAGGGTAACTAAAGCTCCTTACACATTTAAGAAATTGCGTCATCTATAGTTCTAGCGAGCTACCCAAATGTTCAGATATAAGATATAGCCGTCCTGAGTTGACAAGGCTTAACAGCTGAAATATTTAACTTTCAGTCACTGATTTCATGGGGAAATTATGTTTCATTCAATTGGATTCAGGTAGCCAAATATCAAAACTAGCTCATCCTGAACGTGTCGAAATAAGTGGTTATAGCTTAATATCCTGAAAACACACTCGTTTAGTTGAAAATGAAAATAAAATTGTCTTCCAGGGAAGTTTACTCAAATTCAGAAGGTAGGGTGAGATTTTTATGTTGCATATTAATAAAGCTAGTTCTACGATTTTAGCTGAATGATATTTCTTTAAAATGGATAGGATTTAGTCAATCTCGTAGTAAAATTTAAAACATCATCGGGCTACTGTAGACTCATATTTGATGTAAAACATACTAGTTTAATAGCGGTTGTCTAACCTATTTCCAATAAATCTATAATCGAGAATTATAAACTGTAAATTCTCTATTTCGACCGAAGTTGAAATGTTTTTCGTCTAAGATAAGTCGGTACTACCATTGAGTCTGCTGACTGCACAGAGGTGTGACGGAAGTAAGGTGTCTCCCTCAGACAACCAACATAACAGCGATACTGCCTTCCCATAAGGAGGGCTGAGGTTAGAAAGGGCAGACCCTAAAAATGCACACCTCGCCTTATCCCACGGATATCCATCTCCGAAGGTAAGGTTTCAAGAAGTACGGAGCTAACACGGGAATTACTCACATAAAGATCATGAGTGACCGACATCAAGCAGTTGTTCCTTGGACACTGCGGTCACGCTCTCAGGTCACTAAGACCAACTCTAAACCAATTTCCTTTTCAGGTGGCTCTAGTAAAACCCTTCCACAGTGTGGGCAACCGGGAAATGATAACCACCCTCTTACCTCTAACGGCACTCAAGATCACTAACTGACTGACTGAAAAGCAGTCTGTAAATAACATCACAAAGCACGTAAAAGGGGCCTTAAATATTTATGTTGAAGCAGGCGAAAAACAAACAGCAGACCTGTTTTATGTGTTAATCAGAATTACACCGAACGGAGTGTTTTACACCATCAATTATTTCAGTATGAAAATCATTTCTTAAAACTAAAATACCTGCTGGTCTCATGCAACCAATTATTATGTCTCATAAGATAGTTTTGTGAAAATTTAAAGTTTTCAATGGTTTACATCAACAAAATTACAGCCAACTTCATTGTTAAAGATACTTATCTATTTCAACAAGCTCATGCAATTTATTCTGGTCATAAATTTAAGTAAAGCAAGAATAAATATTAGAAAATAGAAAAATAAATTCATTATAACGTAGAATAATTTTTATATTCAAATACACAAAACTGTCAACATAGTTTCTCAAAAGATATTGATTAGATTAAAAGACAGCCTAACTGTTGATAACTTTAAGTCCGGTGCTACTGGACAGTTACAATTACAATTCGGTAGTAGGGAGTTTATTTATTATTTACTTGAACATAGATATTGGTACAAGGGGGCACCAGATACATATGCGCCTCATTTGATATGTGTGAGGGCTGTGATACTACCCGGGTGCCCAAACCGAAGCAGGTGGTTTTCTTAGGGGGCGCCACATCCAGAGCCTTCGACCAGAAAGTCTGATCCACAAGGCAGCGGAGCAACGTCAGGAGATGCAATCCCGTGGTAGCCGGTGACCAACAATTGATTCATACACCATTTTTTCCTTCAGGATACTGGAGCCAACCTATGTGTACTATTGGCTTGGAATCAGGGTTTCACAACTCCCCTAAGTGGACGCTCCATGTCCACCAACCCGGTTAAAGCACCGTACATTTGCTTCTCATCCTCTCAATTTCGTAGACAATACCCATGGTGCGAGAAGTCAGTGAGTGGGACTTCATGGCAGAGGCTATATACGCGTGGCCATGTGAGAGCATTTGGAGAGGGAGAGCTGACTCTCCCCACTCGGCCGTACCAAGGCATTTGGGGGCGGTAGTAGGAAGACTTATGGATATTTTTGATACATTTAAGTATTAAAACTATTTTGAGTTTGTTATGAATCCATACTTAAAATCAAAGCCAACAAAAGGATGATATTATATGTATTTTGCTTAGCTTCATTGCCCAACTATTATGATAAAACATTTATGCTTGCATCCTAGAGTATTTTAATTCACCTGTAGAATTTGTACACTAAAACAAGAAAGTTCACACAAGGAATTTATTTCTTTGCTAGTTCCGATGTAGACTTTTATCTAAAATCTTATTAACGATTTTTCTAAGTCTTGTATTCAAATTACTTCAAGTTATTGAATTATGTATCGGCTTTATCTTCTTTACATTCACACATACCTTCAATGTTTCATGGTTAAATTTGACTGATGAACCTCAATGAATACTAAAGAAATTATAGTCATATAGTCAACCAATTCATGCATTAAGAATACATTATCCAACAATCAGGTTTTATGTATTTGTCGAATTTCATCGATTATAAATGCGAAATCAGTTCACCATTCCACAATAATTATTAATTAGTGTGTATTTAAACGTCAGTCGGTTCATGATCTCAATCAAAAACTTAATAATCTCCACAACCCCTATACTAGTAATTAACATGTGCTCACTGGTGACTAGCTTCGTGAGGAAATTCTCGGAGTTCTAGTGAGAAGCCGTGACCAGTGGAGCTAATCCATGTCGAGTAGAGACAGGTATCTACCTCAGTACAATGGAAGATGGTCGCGCAATTTCGTGGATTGGTTGGTGTTAGACACTATCACCATTGGATGCCGACTCAGTGGTCCAGTAGGTTAAGCGTTCGCGCGCGAGACCGAAGGCCCTGGGTTCGAGTCCCATCAGCGGGATCGTGGATGCGCACTGCTGAGGAGCCCCACAATAGGACGAAACGGACGTCCAGTGCTTCCAGGTTTCCAAAGGTGGTCTAACATCAATCGGTTCATCATCTTAATCAAAAATATTCTTAGTTACTATGAATCATATTTTTATTTCATTTTGTTATTATTACTATTATAATCAGCGTCTCAATAATTTACAATAATTGAATTCTAACTAGTCATATTTAAGTGACTACTTATTCTCTTTCATATCATTATCATGATGAATTTCTTCTTTATTGTTTTTTAAGACTGATGAAGTACACAATTTCCGATTACGATTTTTAACACTATTCGTATCTGAGAACAAAGTGAATTGTTATTTAAATGAAAGATGGTTTCCGGCTAGATTTAACGTTTTTAAAAAACTACAACAATTAGCATTTGATATTGTTAAACATTTACCTGAAGTATTATTAGATAAAGTGAGTAATATCAATGACAGTTCACTTTTTTTAGTTTATATTAACGGTTAATAGAATAGGTTAACAAACAATAATGGATAGGAAATTTACTATTATAATATCCGAACCGTCCAATTATCATAATCTCACAATGTCGATATACTGTTAATGTAACTTAACTTTTTATTTGGATACACAAATAAGCTGATAATATTATCACTACCAACTCCGCCTGTAGTTACTGCCGGTTCCAAGCCCCGGTAAAGGAGGAGAATTGGGCATGGAGTTAGCGACCCCATCCTGTAGAAAACTAACTCGCTAAAAAAACGCTAACCAGAAAAAATAATTCAAACCATTTAAACTCTGCCCTGGGAGTTAGAAGGTCTTCATTTAGAAGAAATATGACGCCTCATGGTGAAAGCCGAGTTCCTTCAAAAGCCACGAGGCCGATGCCCCTTCTAACAACCAGAGCAACAATTTTTATAGGTACATGGAACGTCCGAACAATGTGGGAGACCGGAAAGACCAGTCAAATAGTAACGGAAATGAGGAGATACAACTTGGCATTACTGGGAATCAGCGAAACCCATTGGATCCAAGCTGGACAACAAAGGCTAAATACAGGAGAGATGCTGCTATACTCCGGCTACGAAGAGGAAAATGCTCCACACACTCAGGGAGTCGCTCTAATGCTGTCCAAAGTAGCACGAAATGCACTTGTAGGATGGGAATCTCACTGATCCAGAATTATCAAAGCATAATTCAAAACAAAGAAGGAGGGGATCTTAATGAATATTATTCAATGTTATGCACCCACCAATGATAGTAACGACGACATTAAAGATCAATTCTACGATAGGCTGCAATCAATCATAGAGAAGTGCCCAAGAAAGAATCTCACCATTCTGATGGGAGGTCTAAACGCCAAGGTCGGAATAGACAACACCGGATATGAAGATATCATGGGACGACATGGACTGGGAGAGAGAAACGAAAATGAGGAAAGATTTGCAAATCTGTGTGCATTCAACAAATTGATCATAGGAGGCACAATATTTCCACACAAAGCTACATGGATCTCACCGGACCACACTACAGAGAACCAGATAGATCATATTTGCATCAATAAAAAGTTCCGAAGGACAATGGAAGATGTGAGAAGCAGGAGAGGAGGTGATATAGCTTCAGATCACCACCTAGTTGTGGCTAATCTAAAACTGAAGCTAAAGAAAAACTGGACAACTGGACAATACTTTGAAGAACTCCTGAATAGGCCGGCTCCAACGAATCCACCGGACATCGAAGCAGCAAACACAGATCTTCCTATAGATGTCAACCCACCAACTACGGAAGAAATCAGAATGGCCATCAGACAAATCAAGAGCGGGAATGCAGCAGGACCCGACAACATACCAGCTGAAGCACTGAAGTCAAACATCGAAGTAACTACAAACATGCTTCGCCTTCTACTCAAAAAGATCTGAGAGGAGGAACAAGTGCCGATGGACTGGAAAGAAGGATACCTCGTCAAGATTCCAAAGAAAGGAGATCTGAGCAAATGCGAAAACTACAGAGGCATTACACAGTTCCGGATAATATTGACAATCTTCTCAGGAACTCCATAGTGTCGAAGAAGTTTTCATAAAATCCTCCTATCCACACTGTGTAATGCCTCTGTAGTTTTCGCATTTGCTCAGATCTCCTTTCTTTGGAATCTTGACGAGGTGTCCTTCATTCCAGTCCATCGGCACTTGTTCCTCCTCCCAAATCTTTTTGAATAGAAGATAAAGCATGCTTGTGGTTGCTTCGATGTCTGATTTCAGTGCTTCAGCTGGTATGTTGTCGGGTCCTGCTGCTTTCCCGTTCTTGATTTGTCTGACGGCCATTCTAATTTCTTCCGTAGTTGGTGGATTGACATCTATAGAAAGATCTATGTGTGCTGCTTCGATGTCCGGTGGATTCATTGGAGCCGGCCTATTCAGGAGTTCCTCGAAGTATTCTACCCATCTGTTACGCTGTTGTTGAATTTCGGTGATTGGCTTGCCTTCTTTGTCTTTGACCGGCCTCTCTGGTTTACTGTATTTCCCTGCTAGTTTCTTCGTTGTATCGTAAAGCTGTTTCATATTTCCTTCTCTAGCAGCTTTTTCCGCCGTCGTTGCTAGTTCTTCCACGTATTTCTTCTTGTCGGCTCTAATGCTTTTCTTCACTTGTTTGTTTGCTTCTGTGTATTCAGCTTGTGCTTGGACTTTCTCTGCTCGTGTTCGGCTGTTGTTTATTGCTGCCTTCTTGTTCTTCCTTTCTTTGATCTTGTCCAGTGTTTCTGTAGAGATCCATTCCTTATGATGGTATTTCTTTAGACCGAGAACCTTTGACACGTTGAAGTTAATGCTTCCTTGATGCCTTTCCAGTTGTCCTCCATAGTAATTTCTTCTTCTTTCAATAGATCTCGTAAGGCTTGGAACCTGTTGTTGAGAGCTATCTTGAATTCATTGAGTTTGACAGTATCTCGAAGGAAGGCTGTATTGAACCTTTGTATTGCTGTTTGTCCAGTTGTCCAGTTTTTCTTTAGCTTCAGTTTTAGATTAGCCACAACTAGGTGGTGATCTGAAGCTATATCACCTCCTCTCCTGCTTCTCACATCTTCCATTGTCCTTCGGAACTTTTTATTGATGCAAATATGATCTATCTGGTTCTCTGTAGTGTGGTCCGGTGAGATCCATGTAGCTTTGTGTGGAAATATTGTGCCTCCTATGATCAATTTGTTGAATGCACACAGATTTGCAAATCTTTCCTCATTTTCGTTTCTCTCTCCCAGTCCATGTCGTCCCATGATATCTTCATATCCGGTGTTGTCTATTCCGACCTTGGCGTTTAGACCTCCCATCAGAATGGTGAGATTCTTTCTTGGGCACTTCTCTATGATTGATTGCAGCCTATCGTAGAATTGATCTTTAATGTCGTCGTTACTATCATTGGTGGGTGCATAACATTGAATAATATTCATTAAGATCCCCTCCTTCTTTGTTTTGAATTATGCTTTGATAATTCTGGATCAGTGAGATTCCCATCCTACAAGTGCATTTCGTGCTACTTTGGACAGCATTAGAGCGACTCCCTGAGTGTGTGGAGCATTTTCCTCTTCGTAGCCGGAGTATAGCAGCATCTCTCCTGTATTTAGCCTTTGTTGTCCAGCTTGGATCCAATGGGTTTCGCTGATTCCCAGTAATGCCAAGTTGTATCTCCTCATTTCCGTTACTATTTGACTGGTCTTTCCGGTCTCCCACATTGTTCGGACGTTCCATGTACCTATAAAAATTGTTGCTCTGGTTGTTAGAAGGGGCATCGGCCTCGTGGCTTTTGAAGGAACTCGGCTTTCACCATGAGGCGTCATATTTCTTCTAAATGAAGACCTTCTAACTCCCAGGGCAGAGTTTAAATGGTTTGAATTATTTTTTCTGGTTAGCGTTTTTTTAGCGAGTTAGTTTTCTACAGGATGGGGTCGCTAACTCCATGCCCAATTCTCCTCCTTTACCCGGCCTTGGGACTGGGAGTAACTCTAGAACAGCTACAGGAAGAGTTACCTTGCAACGTGAATAAGACAATTTGCAATTTGTCGTCCTTTGCGTGTTGTGTCGATGATGCTGAAAGCTGCCGTTAATTGTTTTACAGTATCATTCATTTGAAAACGTTCAAGATTGTGCTATTACCTTGATATTTTGCGAATGCAGTTAGTGAGCTTGAGAGTTCATATAATATTTTTGAAGTGGTAACCTGTAATTTTATTATATATCTGGTTGCTCTACTATCTCATTCTGATAACAAGGAAGTAACAACTAGGAACTAAAGTTTTCTAAATAGTATGTACCTCATCACCCGTGATTCTTCAGGATATTCTAATGATCTACACTACTCGAAGTCTATTTATTTCCATTAGTGTGTTGAGCTTAAAACTGTTTATCGAAATCCTAGTAATCAATATTTTAGTTATCGATCAAGTCATTGCACAATATTGTTCGTTATTTATTGATATGTTTTAATCAATCAATTGATTTCAATAAGATCTCAATTAGTTGTTTTCGATATCAATTACTGATAAGTATATATGAAAATTAGACTTAAACTTCATGTTTCAATACTAATATTTCAGAGTGTGTGGTTGATGATTATTTAGTCTAATGATTGTATTTACTCAATTTTAACAAAGTTCACAATGTTTTCAATAATCCTTATTGAATGTTCTCTTAATGAGAGTTTAAAAAAACAGTAATCAATTTTAACTTGGTTATTTATTCTCTGAAGAAGTGACTTACACTAAGTCACGAAACGTCAGAAAATCCAATTTTTCTACTCATTGGGATATTACAAATATATTATTTTTATTTATAACAATCTACCTAATGCTCAATTTATTCGAAATTTTTTGATTGAGATCTTGAACCAATTGATGTTAGGCCATCACAATTGAAAACCTGGATGCACTGGACGGACGGAGCTAATCCTTGTCGGGTAGAGACAGTTATCTACTTAAGTACAATGGAAGTTGGTCGCGCGATTTCGTGGATTGGTTGATGTTAGAAACTATCACCATTGGATGCCGGCTCAGTGGTCCAGTTGGTTAAGCGTTCGCGCGCGAGACCGAAGGCCCTGGGTTCGAATCCCGCTCGCGGGATCGTGGATGCGCACTGCTGAGGAGTCCCACAATAGGACGAAACGGCCGTCCAGTGCTTCCAGGTTTTCAATTGTGATGGTCTAACATCAATTAGTTCAAGATCTCAATCAAAAACTTAGTAATCTCCACAACCCCTGTACTAGTTATTCGAAATTATCAAATCAAACCTTGGTAATGATACCTACAAAGTTCACAATGTTTTCAATAATTCTTATTGAATGTTCTCTTAATGAGAGTTAAAAAAACGCCCCAGTAATTAATTAATGAATAATATTTTTTATTTCATTGAAAGGTTGGATCAAGTGAATGGGTATATAATGATGCAATACTATTAGAATTAAATACACTTTTAGCTTTAATTATACGTCAACAATTCATTCGTAAATCTACATGTACAGAAGAAGATTTATTTGAATTGATTCATACTTATCATTCTCAATCATGTCCATCTCAGTTACTTTAAAATTGGTAGATTGTTTGTTTGTGTTTGTTTCTAATTAAATTGAATTTTGTAAATAGTTCTACAAATTGTACTTTTGGCTTTTTTTGTTGTTGTTGTTGGCTACATGTTGCCATAATCATGTTTTATCTTTTTCAATGTGAAGTTTTATTTTCATAATCATTCTTACATGTATTTATTTGTTAAAACAGTAGAAATGTGTTATGATAGTTAATACTACTAAACGGTAAAAAAGAAAGAATCATAATGATTATGTAAATTCTAGTGCATTAGTAATATATAAATACTTACTTACTTACTTACTTACTTACGCCTGTTACTCCAAATGGAGCATAGGCCGCTGACCAGCATTCTCCAACCCACTCTGTCATGGGCCTTCTTTTCTAGTTCCATCCAATTCTTGTTCATTTTTCTCATGTCTGTCTCCATTTCTCGGCGTAATGTGTTCTTTGGTCTTCCTCTTTTCCTTTGGCCTTGAGGATTCCATGTGAGGGCTTGTCTTGTGACGCAGTTGGGAATGTATAAATGTGGTAATGGAATTAAAGTCAAAATAATTAATTTATGAATAACATATCATGTACTGTATCATATCAATGGTTCGCATAAGTCAGTCAATCAGCTACAATGTAGGACCAGACACATATATACATCGGTCCAAGTTGCCATACCTCATTAGTAAAAACAAGATGTACACCAAATTCATATAAGTAGTCACTTCAATGGGAGTGATGTATAAAATAAAGATTGTGTATAAGGATATCCAGTCAGTCAGTGACAAAGTAGAACTTTGTACGTACATACATCAGTTCAAGTTGCCATACCACATTAGCACAGAGATGCAGTTGTCGATTCGAATCCCACAGTGGTAGAGGTAGAAAGAGTATAAGCAGAAGTCGGAAAGATTAGGGTTTGGAGATGTAATTTAAAGAGTATAATCCAGTGAAATAAATTTAGGAAGAGAGAAAAAGAGACAAGGAGGAATCAGGAGACTAGAATTTGGGAGAACACAAGGAGTGTATGTACCTGCGCCATTGCAAACGATTTTGAGCCATATCATTCAGGGTCTCTAACCATCGGTTGCTATCATCTCTCGGTCCCCAACCAGGTAGTCTACACCTACCAATATGACTCAGTCTACTTGTCAGTGAATTCATGGACTTGTGCCGTGTTTTGGTTTGGCCGCCTCTAGCTTTCTTCCAACCTACTCCTATATATATATATACTTTTGGCTAGATCTTGTACAAATGTTATTTTCTATTTTGTGGTGTGGTGTGGTCTGTCTGATTGGTGTATAAAACGGAGTATGTTTGAAATAAATGGTTCATATTGTCGATGCTGAGATTGGTGTTCTGGACTCAACATGCAGACAGGGCTAGGCAGGAAGCGGGATCGATAACGACTCTAGACTGTTTGAAAGGGATTACGCGTCATTGATCCGATCGATAATTCACTGTTCTCTTATTGGTGATATCATTACGTTATACATTAAATGAGCACAAAGCCACAATTTATTACATTTTTACCTTGCTTAAGTTCTTGGTAGTTAATTACGTAGCTATTTCTCAGTTATCCTTCACTTATGATGCAGTTATGAGCACAATGTAATTTTTCATTGACGTTGTTTGTGGTCAGAAATGTACCGTACATTGTCTTATGAATTTGAGTGTTTTAAAAATGGATGAGTAATAGGAATCTTACTTGTGGAGAAAATATAAGTTCCTCCCGTCTACTCGGTTCACTGAATGTCTAAAGCATACCGCCTGTATATATATATATATATATATATATATATATATATATATATATATATATATATATATATATATATATATATATATATATATATATAAGGCTTGTTGCACACTAATGTGCTCCAGAACACAATGCATCGCATGTAAAATACCAACCTGAGTGAAACTCAGGAATTGGACTGTACAGATTACACTGCAATAATGTTTAGCTTAACAATGTAGAGTGCAATAGTCAAGCTCAATCGAACTGCTTTCAATCTCATGACTTTCTAATTAATCTGCATGATATGGTTTGGCCTGAAAGAATGCTTGCATCATATGTTACACGCATTCAACCAGTATGTTATGTTGCGTAGCTTATGAGTAACGTGAAAAGTTAAGTGGTAGATAAGCTGTCACTGCACAAATCACTGATTACTAGTACGCGATCGGTGGTAGTGGTTCCGTAGGAATTAATGTTCATATTCCTCTTAAAGTGTAAATCAGTACCATTCCACACTTTAATTTCCTTCGATCTGGTTCGTCTGACATATGATGGAGTCACTCACTCACCATTCAACGTAGAGAATGAGGAAGAAATCAAAGTGTTGACAAATAGTTTTGAAGACAGTCGGATGGAGAGACCATTAAGCGGTGGAGGCAGTATCGATCTAATTTTTAAAAATCTGTTATTGAACATCTACAATCCTGTTTAGGAAGGTATTCCCGAAATGAAGAAAGATGTAATAGATGGGTGCAAGAAAGAGTTTAATTGACTCGTTGGCATCACTCATCCAGACACACAGAAACTCACCGATTGCGTTATGGAAATTTGAAGATGAATGTGACATTCACATAGATGTTACGTTGATAAGTTCTGTTTAGGTTTGTTGTATTTAGTCAGTCAATAGATTAGTGAGATTATTTTATTTGATTAATGAAATCGTTCTCCTGGGTGGGCGATCTAACATACATGGAACAATTTGAGTTTACATTTCAGTGTAAACAGAACAGATTTGTAAAACGAAATAGCATAAACGTATTTATTTATATCAGTGTACAATAATTTTAGATGAGGTCATTTCATATTGAACGTCACATCCTTGTGGAGACATCATCCAAATCTTAAAAACGGATCATATCCTTGGAAAAGAAAAGAAACGTTTGGTTACCTCGTGTTAAACAAAAACAGATTAAATGTGATTTATACTGTTTGAATGAGTGAACTCACTTTTTAGAAAATCTGGATGGATCGGTCCTCCATCCACTATTTGAAAGTAAATGCAATATAGAAATATACAAAAGAGAATGGTTTTGATCAACAGTTGTTTCACTGTATGGATTGGATACATGATCAGTATAAGGAATTGGTTATTACATATGCATTCCATTATTTATACACTATTATTGTATTTGTATATATGGTTGTGACCAATCTCTAAATGTTTAGTTTCTCATTTAGTGTAATCATCCATATGAACAAAATCATTTCACTAACCAGTCATATCTATATGTAATTCACTCATGTGACATCTAACATACAAAGTTATGTACTATTCTATGTATTCTTAATCTTTTTTTTACAAGATGAACTGATACCTATCGGGTCATCGATTTCTATTTTCGTCTGACAAAAGATAAAAGATATTTCTTCACTTCATTTGTTTCATGATATATTCAATTTTTGAGGACATTCACTGATGATCAATACATGGTGTTCTTATCTATGTGGATGCCAAAATCTTGTTGACTTTGTATAGAGTATTGGTTAAAATATTATGGGTTTATTATTAAATCTATTGTATGCAATGCGTGATTAATGAAGTTTGACATGGTTTCTTCAGAGTAGTCATCGATGAGTAGGTTGCATGTGAAGGAAAATAATAATAGTAATGAAAACTCTTCAAAGCTACATAACAAAAGTTATATTTCAGAGGGTATCCGTTGAAAAATGTCATTCACATAGACTAAAAATATCAAATGATTTAGTATTAAACTCTGGGCAACCCTAATATAACATCTTGAATCGTGAAGAAACGAATAATTTGTCCTGAATTTAGATATAACATTGTTAAAATATGACTTCGAACAGCCAACCATCAGTTATCGAATAGCTAACTGTTTGTGTAATGACAGGGCGTCTAATATTTGGTATGAATGCAGATGACGATACAAGAAACAAAGTTTATTTCAAAACACGTTCTTCTGTATAGTATTTGGAGATTTTTCGAGTCACTCGTAACCAATAATTATATCTAAACAGAAATTCTGTGCATAATTATTATGTTATTGAATGTGAGTGACTCGAAAAATCTCCATGTACTATACAGAAGAACGTGTTTTGAAATAAACTTTGGTTTGCCATATCATCATCTACATTCATACCGAATTTGGGAAGTTTTGTACTGTTATTGTGAGCATAACTGATCCGACCAGAGATTTAGGATGAGTCCAGATAGCTTCCATAAACCTTACTCTTGTAATGATATTGGATCGTACCTGTTATAACTTGTGGCCTTGTGCCCTATTAATATATAACGTAATGTTACCACCAATTAGAAAACAGTGAATTATCAACCGGACCAATGACGCATAATCCCTTTCGGACAGTCTAGAGTCGTTATCGGTCCCGCTTCCTGTCTAGCCGTGCCTGCATGTTGAGTCCAGAACACCAATCTCAGCATCGGCGATATGAATCATATATTTCAAACATATTGGGTTTATATACGAGCCAAACAGACCACATCACACCACAAAATAGGAAATAACATTTGTACAAGATCTAGCCAAAAGTGGTTGTGATTATGGGAGACTGTAATTAATAGACTGGGAATAACTCAAGAACGGTAAATCCTATAAACATAGTCTATGGGTCAAAATAAAGCTGATGATAAGAGGAATATGAATATGCATAGTTTAGTTACTGAATAATTATACAATGAAAATTTATGTATAGTGTTAGTCAATAAATTTATCCCAACAGTTAACATTCAATATTGTCGTAGGGACGTAACACTAACCACACGATTCTTTTATCTGTTCATATATTGCCTGAGAAGATTTAAATCCAATATGTAACACGCAAAGGTCAATAATGATGAGCGCCTGGACGGAATCGGTATGACGTGGCTCGGCCTTGCGGGTGCGGTCAATCCGTGTAACTTTTCCCTACTCACAATAAATATGTTATTCTATCCCCAGCTCAAATGTGTTCTTAAGATGTGTTAAACATTATATTGCTGGTTGCTACAAGATTCAGTAAAGACAGTGATA